CAATGAACATGAGTGTTAGGACTTCACTTCTTTTTATGGCAAAGTAGTATTCCATTGTATGCACATACCACATTTTGTTTATTCATCCATCTGTTGATGGACCTTTGGGTCATTGAGTGAACTATTTCATTCAACAAAAGATCCAGAGACAAACTTTCCTTAGATATTGTTGAGGATTGAATCATGTCCACCAAAACATGTGCTGGAATCTTAACCCTATCCCTGTGATATAATGCCGTTTGGGAATAGGGTGTTCCTATTACCTCAGTGAAGGAGCCCTGTAGGGAGCTGGATGCTAACTCAAATTCTGTGCGTTTCTAGTGGACCAAAGTCACTAGCAGCTGGGAGGGAAAATGGTGAGGAATCACCTCCTGTGCCACTTACAGCTTCTGAAAACCCAGTGGAGGGTCAGCTATGAATCAGTTCTGATTTGGTAGCAATGAGTTTGAATGACTCTTAATGAGGTCGTTTAAGTGTAGGGTGTGTCCTAATTCTTCTCAGGTCTAAGGAACAGCATAGATAGGATGCACAACTGCAGGCAGACCGGTGTCTGTGAATATTACCTAGGAACATGGAGGGTCTAGAAACAGCTGTTCTTCATCCAGAGCTAACACAGATGGCGAGTCTTCCACTACAGCTGTTGCCTGAACCCAGACCTCCCGCCTCTTCACTGCTTTGTAAAGCCACCCACCTGTGGTGTTTCTCTTACTGCAGCACTGAGAAACTAGGAGCAGTTAATGCATTCTATTAAATGATACCTGAAGCTATTCTTTTAGAAGTCACAATCCTCAGTTCAGTTTAGTTTGCTCTTTTGTTTGCTCTTATTAGACCTCAAGTGCCTAGAGATGATTTAATGATTTTTTTTAAATGTGTTACTTGAGGAAAGGTTTACAAATCACATTGGTTTTTTCATACATTGTTGTTAGGTGCCATCGAGTCGAGCACGTAGCGACCCTATAACAAAAGATTGGAACCTAGTCCTGTCCTGCACCATCCTCACACTTCCTGACACCCAAGAGTCTATTGCAGCAGTCACTGTGTCACCTAGTTGAGGGTCTTCCTCTTCTTCGCTGACCCTCCACCATTTCCAACATCATGTCCCTCTCCAAGGAAAGTCACCTCCTAGCAATATGTCTAAAGTATGTGAGGCAAAGTAAAAATCAGTCTGGTCCTACTTATGAACGAGCCGTTTGCTTGGTGAAGTTGGATCCTGATGGGTGTTTGTGATTTACTTGAAAGCAGGGGTAAACTGTTTGGATGTTTCTAAATTGTGTTAGCAATCAAGTATAAGCTGAATAACTGTATCTGATCTCATTCCCAATCAGCTTGGTTGGGAAGCCTCTGTGGGGCAAAAAGGATCTGGTGGGCAGGCCTTGGTATTTAAAAATCGGTTTGGCCCTTGAGTTTTATACATTAATTCTCTCAGTCCCAATGAGTTGGAGCTTACCTATCCTGCCCCCAAAATTGGGTTTCCAAGGCTGTAAATCACAAGAGAGGAGACTTCCCATTTCCCCCTCTTGGAGCCACTGGTGCATGTGAACTGTCAGAGAGGCACAGACTCTGAGGGTTATTATGGACAATGCTACCAGAGCTCCCTGTAGGATTACTCAGTGTTGTTTAATGTAGCTAATGCCTATTCATCCTCTTTTTGTGTATTTTTTTCCCCAACTTACCTTTTTTTCCTTCCCAGTTTACAAGAATGAGGAAAGGCTTTATTTGATGAGTTATTGGAGTGATTGGCAGGGACAGGTGGTCCAAATGGCTGAAGCTCCCCAACTGTCAACCCTCCAAGACAGATTCTGTGTGTAAACCCTTTTTTGGCTTATGGCATACCATCATCGTTGTTCTAAGCAATGTCTCCCTCATTATTTGCTTCTCCCTTCCTTTCTAGTCCACATGCCTTTCCTTCTGCATAGAGTCTGTTTTGATAGATACGCTTTCATTTTACCTAAATGGCATCTGCTATGGATCTTGTTAATTTCTTTTGTTTCAAATTCAGTATTCTGAAGACCTATACATGTCTTTTGAAGGTTCTTCTCCAAAGTCTTCCCTCACATTTACTTAGACATGTCTCTAGTGTTGGCACATGGGCTGCCTCTGGTTACCGAGTGCCACAATCAATGGTGGTTGGACATTCCTGCATTGTACCCACGCTGATGGGGCTGCTTCACTGGGTACACAGACAAGCCTATGAAACACCATGGGTTCACTTCCAGAACCGTGATAAAGCAAACAGTGCAGTAAAACAAATCACACCTGTCTCTCTTTTTTGCTTCTCAATGCATATCCAAGTTGTTACCACTATATTGCCGTTGATAAGGCATGCAGCAGTATGATGGAAAACTTAGAAATATTAGCAAAATGTGATACACAGATGCGACAAGAATACATCTTGGAAAAATGGTGCCTGCAAACTTGCTGAATGCAGGGCTGCTACAAACCTTTTATTTGTGAAACAGGCTCTATCTGTGAAGTGAAGCTGACAAAACAAGGTAGGGCTGTAAACCTGCACACTGGACTGCAAGGTACAAAAGATGAACGTATGTTTCACTGTGGTGCAGTGAGCCAGATTGTTTTCCGACCAGCGGGGTGTGAAAGATCACATTTCTGCATTTGGGATTGTCAGATGTTAGTTTTGCCAATCTGATAAGGGTAAATTGGTATCATGTTTTAATTTGCATTCCTCTGATCACAGCCAGATAGAACATGTTTTAGTCACTTCTTCTCCTGTTCTCAATTTCACCAGCCAACCCTGGTCGATCACTAGCTTGCTTACTTGCTGTTTTGAGCCTCTTCTTGGTTTTGTTGTTAGGTGCTGTAGAGTACAGCTCATAGCAACCCTATGAACAACAGATCTGTACCCTGTCCTGTTATCCACACAATTTCTGTTACACTTGATCCCATCACAGCAGTCACTGTGTCAATCCATCTGGTTGAGGTTCTTTTCTTTCATGGACCCTCTGCTATGTTTTATATACTAAAATGCAGAGGATCTCAACGTCAAGAAAACAAAACTTCAAACCTGTGGGCCAGTAGGCAACATCACGATAGATGAAGAAGAGAGATCAGTGATTTTTTACAATGACAAATTGCCAATGATTTCATCTTGCTTGGATCCACAATCAACATGCTTTGCACCAGCAGCCAGGAAATCAAGATGTACTGCACTGGGAAAGGCTGCTGGAAGGGACCCTTCCAAAGTGCTGAAAATGACTAGTGTCAGTTTTAAGACTAACGTGCACCTGATCTAAACAATAATCTTTTCTGAACCATAATCCAAATCATAATCTATGCAGCTGAAAGTTGAGTAATGAATAAGGTTTGCAGAAAAAGAATCGATCTGTTTGAGTTGCAGTGTTAGAAAAGTGCCATTTATACCATGGACTGCCAAGAGATCAACATATAGGCCTCGGAAAAGGTGCAGCCAGGGTGCTTTTTGGGGGTAAGGATTATGAAACTTCATCTCAAGTACTTTGGGCACATTGTAAGAAGCTAGTCCTTGGAAAAGGATATAATACTTAGAAAGGTGGATGGTCAATGAAGGTGGAGAAAACCCTCAGTGAGCTGGATCAGATGACATAGAATAATGTAAGGTTCAGATCAATTGCTCATAGCAACCCCAATGAACCACCAACCTGAGCCTTGTTCTCTCCTGTGCCATCCTCTGCAATCTGACATACTCGAGCCCAGTGCTGCAGTCACTATGTCCATCCACCTCATTGGATGTGTGTTTGTATGCGTGCGTCTTCCTCTCTTTCACTGACCCTCCATCTTTCCAAGTATTATATCCCTTTCCAAGGAATAGCCTCTTCTACTAATATGTTTCAAGTATGAGAGATGAAGCTTCTCCATCTTTGCCTCCAAGGTGCACTCTGGGTGCACTATTGAGAACGGGGACACAGAGAGGTTGAAGGTTGCACAGTGACTGAGTTAAAAAGCCAGGGAGCTGGGATTTGAATCTAAGCCTCTCTGCCAGTTTCAACCCACTAGCAGCTCCATGGGAGAAAGACGGGCCATCTCCTCTCATCTATGAACAGTCTCTGCAAACCTGATGGAGAGTCAGCTATGAGTCAGTTCTGACTGGAGGCAATGAGTTTTTTTACTTTGAGTTCAACATAGGTCCTTGGGTGGCAGATATAGACACAGTGGGCTAGCTGGATGTGTGGCAGCCTAAACTCTGCCAGCAGCGCTTTGGGAGAAAGGCTGGTGACTTGGCTCTGAAAGGAGATCAATGGCGTAGTGCTCCGCTGTGTACAGGTGCCGGCATCTGATACTCTAGTATCATTTGATTTACTAGGGACATTTTAAACATTTTCCCACAAACCAATTACCACGAGACCCTGATTTTGGACCAAGATTTTGCCAGCCACACTAGTTTTTAAGAACAAAATGAATAAAGCTGGCAAGGGATGATCAGCAGTTTTGTGCCTCGGTAAATTCTTTATTCTGATTCTAAATATGATACTGAAATTTACATGTTAATTTTAAGGCAACCAATGTACATTTAAAACAACTGAAATAAAATATACAAGACATTTATAGGACATAGGAGACAGATCACAAAACCTGAAATACAGTTTTAATTTCATTTTCCAGATTAGGAGATGGATGGGACATACTTTGCCATGGGTTCTGTCTTCTTGTGGCTCACGCACATATTTCCTGCAAGTACTCCTTTATTTACCTTTCAAGGTAGTTTAAGAATCAGCAAACAACTAGGTCTTCTAGGTTCACTGATTCAGAAAACATAATTTCAATTCTAGACCTTCTGACAGAACCTAATGCCTGTTTTTGGTAAAAGAACATTTGTTCTTTTGAATAAGACCTTTCACAAAACCTTATTAAGAAACCTTATTATTGGTTGAGAAAGCAAGTACAGGGTATCTTTATATCCCAAGGGAAATTAATGGAGACTGAAGACAAACATCCAGATCTTAAAAAAAAAAACAAAAAAACAACAAAAAACAACCAAACCAAAACAAACCCAGATCCGAATACTTGAAAAACAAAATTGCTGCATTGTAGCTTTTTTAAAAAAGACTTTTCCCAGCTTGTTTCCAGACCTCCTTCACGCCTTTGATGCTCTCTTTCTTCACACATTTCCAGTACTCCTGTACACTCAGTTGCTGTGGGACCTGCCAGCCAAAAGCAAAATTAAGAGGTCATTCTCTTCAAGGTTACGTATGTACTCTATGTTATTGTTAATTTCCCCTATTCCTCCAAAATAGTCTGAGGTCTGAGGGTACGGAGGGAGATAAAAGAGTGCGTGGGCCAAGTGGGCCCTCAGGAGAACTAAGGAATGGGCCGCCCGAGCACATGTGAGCGGAGCCCCTTCCCCTGGAAGGGAAGACAACTTTGGACAATCCTCTCTCCTATAATGAATCTAAAGTGTAATTATTTGTTTGTTAATATTTTCCTTCTTCTAGTGAACTTTATTTAGCCATGTGGAAAAGTAGTTAGAAACCTAAAACTTAGATTAAACCTTGATTAAAATGAAAAAACCAACTACAGGTTACGGCAAACTGGATGGCACCCCTTTTATAAAGAAACAGCTAACTCACAGACACTTTCTTTGTGAGTTAAGTTTTGTTTGGCTACTCCTCTTCTAAAAGCAGAAAGTAAAGGAAGTTAGACCACAGGCAAATGGAAGTCAGGCCATACTTCGATTACACACGCTCCTCTTCTCACTGCTGGTGCACAGCTCTCCCTTCAGGGTCCACTGACAAAGGTCAAAGGTCAAATAACGGTTTACCGCAGAGCCTGCTGGAACTGCCAGGAACACAGCCAGGGACTATCCGGTGCTTGACGACCACAAAGCTGGTTAAACATGTTTTCTAGTGGGAACATATTCAGTTCCCTCTATGTTATATTTGCTGGAGGAAGTGGAATTTCATTCTTTTAAGTCTCCCTACTGTGGGTTTGGTGACAATCTCCCAGGACAGTGCCACATCCTTCTGTGGTGTCGTTAGCCACTGAGTACAAACTGTTTCGGCCACTCAGGGACCTTCCAATCATGTACAAATATGCAGTTATTAAACAATACGGATGCTACCTACCCATAGGCCTCGATGCATCCTGTTTTTTAAAACTCCAAGGAACTCTCCGTGACTGAGACATTCATCTCCGTCCACGTCAAAGATCTTGAAGACTGTGTCCAAAATATTGTTGGAGAGCTCCTGACCAGTCGCCACCTTCACAGCCCTCTTAAACTCCGCTAAAAGAGGAAAGGAAAAGTGATGAGACCATGCCAAACAGTCCAAGGAGTGGGAAATGCACTCCTTCATCACTTAGGAAGTGAAAACAAACCTCAACGTTTATCCCTCGCAAAGTAAGTTGAAACCATTTACATAAAAATACTCATCAAGAACACATTCATATTGTAAATTTGTTTTAAAAATGGCATGAGAACTAAAAGATAACGAAACTATTTTAATCTGTATTTTCAACATAGACACTTAAGTATTTTCTCCCTTTTAAGGAGGAAAATGAGAAAGTTAAAATATTTTTGCTAGTGGAATGGGAGTACAGGCTATAAATCTAGAAACTAAAAGGCCAATCAATTCTTTTCATGATAACTGGCACTTTGATTGGTATCACCTAATTGAAGGACAGAGTGAAACTGTTAGAGAAGATAAAACATAAGATGGTTCACATAACTTACCTAGTCTGACAGGGCGATGAGCTAAACTAAACATCTGCATGGCAATAGCAAAGTCCTCCAAGTGGGTTGTAAAATGGCAAAATGATTTGAACTCATCCAAACTAATGCTCTAATAAAATGAGAAAAGTGAGTTTTTATTACAATTTTGTAATAACATTATGAATATAAGCGTGAGTCTTCTTTTTTTTTATCATGAAGTTGGTGAATTTAAATCTTTGTGAGGAAGTCTATTAAAAAGTTCAAGATACAGAAGCAAAGACATACCTCAGGGATATCGTGAGTTCGGTTCTAGAGCACGGCAGTAAACCTTGCAATAAAGCACGCCACATGAATTTTTTTGGTTTCCCTGTGCATATCAAAGTTATAGTTACACTAGACTGCAGCCTGTGTGCAAAAAGCACGATGAGAATGCTTGACACATTGTGAGGAGTACATATATGTAACACACAGACACAACGTGTGCATGAACTGTTGGAAAAATGATGCTGGTAGACTGTTCAAAACAGAGTTACCAGACTTTCAATATGTGAAACAAACAAATACCAAATAAAATGAGGCAGACATCTGTAGCTCCAGAAAGTAAACGGCAAGGACACTGAGTCTGGTCAGGCAGCAGGCCCCTGAGTTCCTGGTGTGTTCTGGAGTCGTGGTGTGAAGGCAGGGTGTTTCTGTTACGTGGGGCACCTCCTGGTCTCCTAGCATGGTGCTGAGGAGGGGCACTGGCTCTGCAGCTGGCTGGCCCTGTGCTGGTTTCCCAGTTCTGCTGTTCATCATGCTTATGATCACAGGTACTCTCATCTTGAAGCGTTAGGTGCATGCCTCTCAAGAGACTAAGAACAACTAAGTGAGCACTCAGGCTTTGAGGCTTGGGCTCTCTGACTTTGAAACCTATGTGCTTACAACAAGATCAAAACAGACCATGAAAATCCCTGATTTAAAAGTAAACTCCTTCTTGTGTGTGGTCTTATTCAAATTGCACTGCTTCCAGTCTCTGTGAATGCATGGGCATTAGTTACTTTACAAAAATTTTAATTAAGTTTTGGAGAACTTTACAAATAATACATGCACAAGGTAATAAGCCTCAAACAGTATAATAATAAACAAAGAAAGTAAGTCTTCCTCATCTTTTGACCCCCATTCCTTTGCCCAGACCTAAGTGCCATCACCGTGTTCTGAAGTATTCTTCCAGAACTACTTTCCTCATACAAAAGCACACATGCATGCCTATATGTCCTTGTTCTGGCTCTTCAGATGTTTCCCACACTGCTGCATTCTCCTGTCTGTCTCATCAGCACAAGTGAGAACGGGCCTGACTGTCTCTACCGTGATCACAAACAGGCACAGGGTAACCCTAGAGCTGGGGTTTGTGTCTTTCTGAATGAAGTGAAACACTTCATGTGTCCATTTGTCATTTGGGGCTTTCTTTCCATGGGTTCTCTTTACATCCTTCACCTGGATTTATAATAGGTTGTTGGAGTAATTTTCTTGCTGGGAGACAACTCTCCACAGTTGCTCTTATTTCTTTACATCGTGCAAACAGAAGATGTCTGTACAGTGCCCAGTTTGACTAAGATCAGTGTCTTCCTGAAGACGTTGTTTGCTGCTCAGTAAACAGAAAGTAATAACTTCCTCTGTAGCACAGGTCAGGGATGTCTGATGAGTATCCATCAGAAAAGATTCACGCTCCCTAAGACCATGTCTCCTCAGCTCGTGTACAGATGTGCTGGGTGCACAGCATTCTCCTGGGATCCTCAGTGTCACCCCACAGGACCAGGAGGAAAGAGGAGACAAACACGATGTTCATGCTGCTGCTGTGCTGGGAACAAGGAAGGATTTTGTTTCTGATCCAGCAGCTTGTGTCTTCAGCCACCATTCCTGAACCCTGGCAGGCGAACATGTGAGCAGCAGCCAATCACGGCCACCACACAGTGGTTGGTGCTTGGGTGGCTGCAGTGTGTCCCTCACTCCCGGGGACCTTAGAGGTTCTAGTGCATGTTAAAGAGGATGCAATCCCAGACCCGTCCAAGTTCTTGACACTTAATGATTTTTTTTTTGTTAGTAGAATCTTTTTTTTATTCAGAAAAAAAAACCCCAAAAAACAAAAAGTTTCGAACCACACACAGGAGGGGTATGGGTAGGGGGCGGTATCTGTCCATCCAGTCCTGCCCCCTGCCCATATGGTTTTGGCAGCAATAAAGGATGTGGGGTAATGGCCCCAAAAAATAAAAATGG